TGACGTTCACTGGCACTTGCTAAGTATTTATGGAGACCAAGCAGTGGATGTGAGCACAGTGAATCAGTGGTGTGTTTCAGCAGTGGCAACAGTGAAGTGGGTCACCTCCTCTAGTGCAGAGTTAACAAGCACAGCATGCAGGCTGCTGTTCATCACTGGTGAAAATGCATAGCTAATAGTGGTTATTATGTTGAAAAATAGTGTTTTGTAACTGAGAATATTCTCTATTGAATAGCGCTATTGTGCTCTTTGTATCTGTTGTAGTTTCCATGGAAATAAATAGGAGGCATTACTTTCAAAGCCACTAAACTCAAGCAGGGTCCTTTCCTCTAGGTTCTTCTGTAGGAGACTAGTGGTATGATTACAGTCACTGTGATTGAGTGATTCTCAATAGAGGGGGAAGGTACAAAGACCTTCAGAGGCATGTCTTTTCCTGCTCCTACAATATTGCACCATTGTACACGAAAACCAAATTTATTGTCTTCAAAAGAGTTTCCTTCTTTTTTGTTATCAGAGTCCTGTATTTAAATTTCTGTATCTGAGAATCACGGAGTCACAGTATGGGTGAGGTTGGAAGGCAACTCTGGAAGTCATCTGGTCCAACTTACCTGCTGAAGGAGGGCAACCTAGAGGTGGTTGTAAAGACAGTAATTCTTTTATTTCTTTATGTTTCTATTATAGATTTATGTTAACTCCCTTTTCATATTTGAAATGCTTCCTTTCTGGTAAAGAAATGTATTGGTCTAAAGCTTAGAATTCCAATACTTTATATGAGGACTGCAAAAACTCAAATTGTGAAGGTTTTCTTTTCAGTTCCACTGTCACTGACATGTGTTATTTACATTTACATGTGTCGTGAACAGCCCATCCACATTTCCATTATTTCTTTCCAACTGGTACTTTATTTCAACTTCTTTAAAGTCAGAGTGTGGTAAACTTGCCATCCATCATTGTCTAAGCACTCTTAATTTGGCTACAGAGAGTGTGAAAGTGGGTTCGAATGCTGCACTAAGTTACAAATATAGGATCAGACAAGCCTTTGGTAAGGTCTTTGAAACCTGCTAGCTTCAGTCTGAATGAGGTTGAGAGAAAATTACTGATGCTCAGTTTGCACCTTTTAAGACCTCTGCATTTCACATTGCATTCTGAACTAAAGTGAAACCAAAAATTCAGATGAAAAGCTTTGAATGCCTGAAAGAGTTTCCATATTGTTAGGCAACACTCTCTCAACCTCAGATTAGGTAAAAGTCATTGACAAATGCAGCAGGCACAACTTTAAAAATTCTATGATTCTTCAGACCTGAAAAAATGGAAATGGGAAATCTGCCTGGATACAAAGAGCTTCTTTACACAAGAAGAATCACAGGAAGGATCACACCCATCCAGTACATAAGTGGTGCCAGACCCTCAGCTATACAGCATAAATGCTGAATATACATGCTGAAGACTTTAGCAAAGAATACTTTAAAAAACAGTCTGTTCCTCCTGGATTTTACTCATGCAAAATTGCAAAGATCAGCTGAGAGACTTATAGTGACCCTTTCTGCCAGGAAGTGAGTGATAGTGCTTTTTTGACCATGAAGAGCACAGGTTAAAGAAATCCAACTCAGATTTGAATGCTTGAAGTCTGCTTTAATTGAAAACTGCCCTATCCCTCTCACAGATGTTTACCGTTTGCTTATTCTTCTTCCTGCAAATGCACATGGTGCTGGAAAGACATGTGAAGTTTCCCAGATGGATGAAAGAGTAATGTTAATTTAGGAGCATTTATCTGTTCCTTTCCTTTCATTTTTTTTTCCTCCTTTCTCATGCAGCCTCTGCCTTTTTGACTTTATTTTTACTTGAAAACTTGAATAACAACATTTTTTGTCATCTTCGTGGTCCATTCAAAATATGATTGTGCTTTCTGAAAAATGTTGTCAGGTAAATACTGGCTTCTAGTCTGGAGCTCCCCAATAGTGTCGCTTTTCCCATGATGTAACTGACATGATTTCTAATTCCTAAAAGTTTTCAGCAGGCATGTACGCATGAATGAATAAAAACAGAGCCAGCTTCAATCTGCCCATTCTCAGCCTGCCCAGACAAAAGTTAGCTCTAGTCCAGAACAGAGGTATGAGCACAAGGCAGTCCAAACCATATGCTTCATCTTTCAGCAGAGTATATTAGCTCAGACCCAGTGACACATGAAAGCGTGTGTCATACTAAATTCAGTGGGTGAATTCAGGTTGATTCATTAAAATATTAAAAGTTTTGTCCCAGGTTTGACCCAGATATAACTGTTTAGTTATTTTTATAGGTCCTCTCCTTCCTTCAAGGCTTTTTTTTTTTTTTTTCTTTCTCTTTTTGCTTTATTGAGATTCATTTTGGATTTGACATGACGTGGAAAAAGACAACAGAATAGAACTGGTATTGAATTACACTGCTAAGCACCGTCACTTAATGAGTCAAAAATAACTGTAAAAATCTCACTGCAACACAATCACGCTTTGATATTAATACTAAATTTCAGACTATCTGGATATTATTTATGTTAATCTGACTTTTTTAAAAAGCTATGGATAGTTTAATGGGAACACCATAGTGTGAGTTAAGCCTCAGTATCAACTGAGCGTCAAAAAAATTCCATAAAATGTTGCGAAAGTTTTCCAGAAAATTAGAAATGATACGCAGTTGAATTTAAAAACAAAATTTAAAAAATCAGAGGTTCTCACATATCTCTTTCTCAGCTTCTTTAGGCTTAATCAGCGTATCCTACACTACATTTTTAAAGCCAATATTTACAAGAATTTACAACAATCTTTTGTTTAGTATTGTTTACATCAGTGTATAGAAGCCAAAACAAACTGTTTAGTATATTATACTAACCTACTAATTCATTATTCCAAAAATGATTGCTTACTCCTCCTACCATTATTTTAGTTAAAAATTAGCTTGTAAGAAGTCTGTGTAATCTCATGTTTTGTTTCTGAGGATTATTTATATTTCTTGTTTGATCATTCATTAATATAAAAACTATTGCTTTTAGCTTTTTCTGATACTCCATGTACCAATATTCAAGCATGTTGTGTTGTTCTTTAAATAGTAACTTCAATTACATGTCATTGGACATCATAGTTTCTGACTACACACCCAATCAAATGATTCCATTTCCTCTCGGCCACTTTTTTGCGTCCATACTAAATAGCAGAAAAAAAAACAATATTAAAAAGACAAATGTAAAATTCATTCTAATTGCCTTACATTCTTCCCTCTCCTTTTAACACTTTACAAAGCTTCCAAGTTCTATTTATTCATGTAGTAAACAATAGCAGTAAACAACAGACCCCAAGTAAACATTCACTGTCTAAGGAGATGAAGAAAAAAAAAAGGCTCCATTTTGCTTCTGAAAAAGACAGAGATATTATGTCACATAGCAAAGATTCTTTAGAAAACCCAGTTTTCAAAAACTGAATCCAAAATTACAAGGGCTGCTCTGAAAGTAATGCCTCCTATTGTACTCACCCACAATATCAGAGGTAGATGTTGGTATGGCAGTAGGATCTTCCCACCAGTATTCCATTACATTTTGTGACATGTGACAGATTGCAGCAGAGAGGTGGCCAGACAAATTGTTGTCTGACATGGGAATGCAGATGAACCAAAAGTGTGGCACTGAATTGCTCCATGTGGAAAAAATTGTATCCTTTGGCATTCATTGACATTTGCTGAGATCAACTAGTGGATGTGAGCATAGTGAGTCAGTGTGTACTGTGCTTCAGCAGTGGCAACATCAGCATGACAGACAAGCCACATTTTGACAGCCTTGCAAACTTTTACAAGTGCAACATGCAGGGTCTTATTCATTGCTGGTGAAAATGTGTAGTTAATGACTGTGACTGTGTTGAAAAATAGTTTTGTAGTTGAGAATTTTCTCTGTCAAATAATATTATTGTGCTTTTTGTATCTGTTGTAGTTCCCATGGAAATAAATAGGAAACATTACTTTTGGAGCCACCTACATGTATCTAGATGAACACACACAATCATACACAGGCACCAGGTGATAGAAAGGACAAGTTCAGGATGCATAATCTTAACTTAAAGTTACTACTTTCTCCACTATAAGACAAAGGAATGTTTGACTTTATCACAAAGAGTAATGGTCTGAATTCATCATTTTTTTTTTCAATAACAGTAAAAATTGTACAAAGCTTGACAGGGTAGCATAGTAGTGGGAATCTGCATTCAGAGTCATGCATATGTTAGTTTCACCATCACAATTTAGCTGAGGATTATTAATCACAATAAGGAGAATTAATGAGTGTGCAGAGGGATTCCTTGTGTATCAGTGGGTAGAATTATGTGCTGAGTTGTGCCAGGTTGATAGTTCATACCATTGCATTAAACTCTTCATGAAAATCGGCACATATAGCACAGAAAGTAGTGCTAAGCAGTGGCACCAGTAACTTCAGGGATTTGCTTAAAATTCAGTGTGCATATTCCTAACAATCCAGTACACGTCTTTAAAATTTCAGTGCACATCTGTGAATGAATGCATGTTTTTTAAGGCTCTGCTTCACATTGTCCTAAGGTTCTGCACAAATGTTATTAATGTTAATGAGATCTCTATAGTCCTACAAAAGAGGTCATTCAGTATCGTACTTCATGCAGCCATATCATTGGGTTTCAGGTTGGGTTTCAAGCCCTGAGAGATTGCCATTGTAGAAAAAGAATTTTCTGAAACAAAAAAGATCTGGAATTTGGTTAAAATCAGATTTCAGACAGTTCAGATGATTACTCAATATCTTTGCAAGTTAATTTTCTACAACAATTTTTTTATCCTTCCACCGTTTGAGATGATTCGGTTTGCCAGACCTCCATGAAATTGTCGTAATCCTGGACATGTCTCATTTTTCCAAGTTCAAATGAGACCCTGAAAGTAGTTGGCTATGGAGCTCATTTCACTGTCTGTTAGTAATGAAAAACAGCTCAGTAAAGACAATTCTTCCTTTTTCAAAACAGGAATTCAAGAAAAATGAGGAACCTCCCCAGATGCTTCCAAACTCAACGCCTGGAAATAAGTAAAATGACAGGGGTCATTTCCTTGGCATGGAAAAAATCAGACAGAGCTATGTACAAATATACTGAAAAAGGTTGAAAATAAAATTGTGCTAAGACCACTGGATAAAAACAAACAAATAAACTGGGGGGTTAAAAAAAAATTAAAGAAAAAAGAAAAAAGGAAAAAGAAAAAAAAGGAAAAAGAAAAGAAAAGAAAAGAAAAGAAAAGAAAAGAAAAGAAAAGAAAAGAAAAGAAAAGAAAAGAAAAGAAAAGAAAAGAAAAGAAAAGAAAAGAAAAGAAAAGAAAAGAAAAGAAAAGAGAAAAGAAGAAAAAAAGAAGCTTTACTCTTCTTTTATAATTGCCAGTCTGAAATTCATACACATTAAGATCAGATCAAAACACAGCTGAGTAAAATTATCCAGTGAGAATGGTCCAAGCTTCAAACAAGATGCATTATGGGAGAAGGAAAGGGGAAATGGGAAAATGAGTCAAGTCTTCCTGCACAAGCACAGCAATTTAGAACCATGAAAGTAAACTTCAGGAAGAAAATATTCTCCAAATTCAACTTCTGTATTAAAATTGACTGGATGGGAAAAAAAATATGGATCTGATCTGCCTAGCGGTGCCTAACATCCTCATCTTACCTGCTGCCAAGAACAGCTATTTGCACAAGTTTTGCATTGCAGAATTGTCTACCTGCTAGTTTAGCAGACATATCTTAGAGGCTCATCTGAGCACCATGTTGCTGAGTTACTACATTTTATTTTCCTTGTGTTAAAAGATGACCTTTCAGGCATCACACTAAGAGAGCTAATTCTTCATTTTTAATTTCTTTTCTTTTGCCATGAGTTCTTTTTTTTCTGCTCTCAAGCTTTTGTAAGCAGGAGGTATACCACCTTTAACAGCTGCCTTTAGCAGTGCAGTACATTCAGAGATTTATTATGATGGTTCATCACGATGATAAATTCTGTAAAATTATTTTGCTTTTGAGTGTATACAGTGTTTTGCTTTTCTGCCCATGACTTCCCTGAGGTCCTTCCCTCTGCTATCGCCTGTCCAGCAATCAGTATGCTGTGGCAGCGTGGAAAAAGGAAAAGCTATGTTACCGCCTGAACAGCCAAAGCCCTCACATGAATAAGGCACTTAAGATGAAGACTGTATAATTAAGTGCAGGCGTGCACTCAGGCCTCCCATCGCACCGAGACAGTTATTAAGGGGAGCGAAAGCTGCGATCATTACCCAGTAAAGAGTACGATGATTGGCTGCTCAGTGTCAGGCCTCCGGTGGCCAGCTTTGTCACACACGCGGAAAGGAGAGTTCACTTTCTGTCAAAACTGGCTTTGCCAAATGTTATCATTTTAAATGCCGTGAAAGAGAGGGAGCTGGGCCTAGGGGTATACACAGCCCCATATGCTGGTGACAGTGATACAAGTGTAATTCTAGACTATTAGAGTGACACATAAGATCATTTCTGCCCCAGAACATGAGACAGCTGAGGGGATTATGCAGGACAGGCTGTCACGCAATAAAATTTTCAGAAATCTGTTAACCCCAGCTCAGACCCAGTGAATATTTTATTGCTTAACACTGAGAAAAAGTATATTTATTAGCTATAGAAAGATATAGCCTAGAGGCTGGGCAGATGAAAGGTTACTGGAAAACGAACTCACTCGATATCCTACTGCAAAGAGTAGCAGCTTGATTGTGGAACTGAAGAGAAGAAAAAATACCCTCGCTGATCCACATTTGCATCAGAGATGGAAATCAGAGTTAAAGCACTCAGCACTGCAATTAAAAAGAATTCTATATGCTCTCACTGTAAAGAATGGTCTCTACAGGACATGGAGAATATCATATGCAAACTGATGTTCAAAATTTCTTGAAGCCGATTAGGCTCAGGAATGCCTAGGCAAGATAGCATTCCCTAGGAAATGTGCATAAATTGGGGACTTAAAGCATATTGCTTTCTGTTTGCCGAACTATATTCTTCCAGAAGAAAAAACTGACTTTTTTTTTTTTTTTTTCCAGAGATCTAGTAATATTTCATTATAGAGAAATAACAGCATTTTCTATCTTACAAAGAGTGCATGTTTGCCAAACCCTGATTAAAATTCATAGAAAGCAACACAAAGAATACACAAGGAGCCTGGCTATCAGGTTATTATCTAACCACTATATAATTTTTGTATTATCCATCCTCTATCTACACAAGGATATAAACATGCATGCGAACAATTAAATCTGCCACATAAAGCTCTTTGTTTCATTCAGTGTATAAGAACTTTTCACTGAAATGAGATGTGTGAGGTTTGCAGTCAACAATTAAATGTTCTCTCTTAGAACATGCATGGCACAGCAATTGTTAGAAAACTTCTTAATTAAGAGGGTGAAATATATAGGAAATAATTATAATGATGAAGTATTAGTACATCTAATGGTTCCTTCTTGAAGGAAAAAAAAAGTAACACTAGGCTTCCATACAAGATTTCAGAAATCATTCAAGAAAAGATATTGCTACATGTATTATTAATATTCGTATTAAAAGCATTCCAAAGTTAGTCTACACAGTTTAATTTAGGTGCCTATGATTACAAGAGACAGCATTTGTCCAACAATGTCACAAAGGTCAGCAGAAAAAAAATAACATGATATGCTTTTTGAAAACTCCCAGCATCTGAATGCTATGTCCAGGGTGTAAGAGGAGCCCATGGGGGTGCACTTGGAGAACAAAAGCAACCCTTCTGCTAATTGACTGAAAAATTAGCCAGGTCCCCCTGTGGGAAGCACACAAGACAGCAGCAGATGGAGATAGCTTGGACACTGCAGCAAAAAAAGCTCCTCAAAACCTGCTGTGAATCTGCCTGCAATTATGGGTCACAACACTTTTCTTGTTTAACAGAACACAGGCAAGACAAACAGTGTATGTAAAAGCTGGAGAGGTCATAAACTGACTGTAAATCTATTATTTTAGGCAAGGAACCACCAAAGTTCCTAAAATGCTCTAAGTTTTCAGTTACTTAACAAAGTAACTTAAATAGCTCCTTGTCCCTAGTGTTGTGAAAAACAGTTTTGTGAATAATCTGAAGTAATGTTTCATGTCTTACTTACTCTTTGTCCCTTGTTTTGTTGTTTTGGTTTTTTACAGGACAACATATATCATCACCAGAGTTATGGAAAATATACTTTTAATTCTGGTTTCATTGGTAGAGAGGTGGCCGAAAGATAGACTGTTAGAAAATGTTAGAAAAGGTTTCTTGTCAGCTTATTGGAAACAGATGTATGAATGTTTAATTTTGATACCCAAGCCCTTTATCATTGTCATTTCAATCCTACCTCCAGTGTGGTTTCTTTTATTTCAAAAATTATCTATTATAAGTTCTGTGATTAGTCTCTAGATAACAATAAATAAATATAAGAATGAAAAATTCTGTTTACTACTGTCACGTTTAAAACCGATTAAACTATTAATTGGATCTAAAATACTGAAACTTTTATTTTAATTGAAATTCTAAGAACAGTTTCTAAAGTCATTGAAATAGGTTACATTTATTTTTACAGTTTCATTTAAAGTGATTTTATTTTCTTGAAGCATTTTAAAGATCAGGTCATCTATCTGTTTCTTATTTCATAAAGAGTATCATTATTATGCCCCAAAAAGACAACATTATGGATGATAGAAGATAGTAAGGGATAAACCATCCATAAAATTTAAACAGGAAGACATTCATAGTCAATCATTATGAATAATCGATGCAAAATAAATGCAATAATGAACGTGATAATGAATAAGCCAGTGTAAACATCTGGCTTAAAGTACATGGCAAAATGCTTTATTTTGTTTCATATTGTTTTCCTTCACAGGGAATAGAAAGTATCCTTCAACTTCCTTATATGATATTTTTATCCCAATTAATATGCAATTTCATTACCAACCTCTATTTTTTTATTCTCATTTTATTCCAAGATAAACTTTGGGTAATATATTGTTCATGTTTAAAATTAATTATTATAGTCTATGAGTGAAACCTTTCTGTCCACTGTATTATTGGTTCCACTCAAGTTTAGCTCCAAACTTCTTTATTCAGCCTTGAAGACCAAAATCTGAGGATATGACCTGCATAATTGTTGTTCCACTTTACACAGAAGTCATTTCCGTTGGTGACTTGTGTGGATAAACACAGGAACACACACACAAATATAGGGCTAAACGTTCACTGGGCTTAGCAAAACAGCCTTTATCTGCAAGTAGTTTTTCTTCCTGGTTTTACACATGGGTTACTTCTCTAGGGTGTTGTAACATATATTACTTTATCTACATAATAATAGATATTTTCCATTTCACAGGTTTTTTTAGCACCTCTTCAATACACACTATGCTTTTTTTACACTTTTTGCCTGAGTTTTCATTCTGCTTGTACTGAAGTGGTTGCTACTCTACACCATATCTCATGTGCAAGTATTTTATTTTGTATTATTAAGTAGCAAAAAAAAATATTTAACCAGTGCCCTATAAATTGTGAAAAAAGAAAAACTACATACTCTCCTATCTATATTCTGTCTCTGTACCTATATGATGAATAGAATATTTTTGCATGACTTTTGAAAATATTATGTGTTTGAAAATAAAAGGCTGATAAAGCTAAGAAATGATGTCCCGTATTAAGATGGAAAATAAAAAGAACTTGTGAAATAACTAGAAGACTGATCTACTTTGAGGGGTATCTCCAGTCTTCACTTTCTCTTGTGTAAAGATTTCAGTTTCTAGATACTCTGCTGAGAAGTTAATGAGCATTCTGTGTAAATATCTGTAAGTCAGAAACTATACTGCTTAACTTTTATCATACAGTTTGTTTCTGTGAGGTGAGACCTCATTGCAGACTTCCAGTATTTGAGAGGATCTTATAAACAGAATGGAGACTGACTTTTTATATGGTCTGATAGTGATAGGACAAAAGGGGATGGCTTTAAACTAAAAGAAGGTAAAATTATACTCTTTGTTAGGTGGAAATCCTTTACTCTAAGAGTGGTGAGGCATTGGTACAAGATGCCCAGAGAAGCTGTGTTGCCCCATCCCTGGAGGTACAGAGGGGCTGGACCTAGACAGTCTTTAAGGTATCTTCCAACCTAAGCCATTCTATG